TGTGGTAAATTTCTATTTTTAATGCAGGCCTATCACATAAATGAAAGGATTGATTGATGAATTTAATAATTGAATTTGAAAGGATAAAGAGATGGCTAAACTCCGAAAAGAGATGTCGGTGCAGTCCATACCGGAACACTATTCGGTAATTGGATCATATCTGGAGTTGTAGATCTCAGATTTAGGTCCACTTTATATGGATGGAAAGGTAAGACATAGGCCTACATCGTTTCTATGGAGCCCAAGATCTGAAAAGGCCATTTTCAAGTCCAAATTGTAGCAACAACAAAGAAGCCTGAATCTGTCCTCCAGCCCGAGCACTGTTCAGTATTTTGGCCATATCTGGAGTTCTAGAAGTCCAAATGAGCTGACTTGTTTACACAAGAAAGCTGAGACAATTGTCTACAACTTTCATGTTTTCAAGTGGCTCCAATTTTGACGTTATCAATGACGTTTTGGGTAGACAAGAGAAGATAAGGATTGTCACCAAGTCAAGAGTTGGCCACCCACTCATCAATTAGTCATCAAATCAATAGTTCCCAATTTTGGCCTATAAGAGGAATTTGCCATACATTTAGGCATCTTGGTTTCCAGATCAAGATCATGCTCTTACTTTCTTTCTTTGTATTTTTTGAAATGTTTATGCTTTGCTTTCATTAATATCAAGTTTATGCCTTTCATTTCCTTTCATTTACTTAGCTAACTTTTATCTTATTTATGTTCTTGTTTTGTTTATTTATTTTTCTTTCTTTCATTATGTCTAGCTAAGTTTATTATGTCAAGGTGAAAAGGTTACACTAATGGTGTAAGAATAAGTATAATGTAAACTTAATATGGACTTTAATGTTTGATACTAACATGTTTTATATTTGTTATCTTGTTCACTCTTTAATACTTTGCTTGTTAAATGACTAATCTTGATTTATGTTGTATAACACTTGGTACAACAAATGCTTGGTTGTTGTAACCCAATTTTGGATTCACTAAATTTTTTTTAAATGTTATTTTATCTTATTATTCATGACAAAAAAATAAAAAAAAAAGAGAAAAAGAAAAGAAAAAAAAGAGTTTAAAATATATTTTCTCGAGTCAACCGTCATTTTCTATCAAAACCGAGTCCACCAGGTCAATACGGGTTAAACGATGTCGACCGGGATTAAAAATGAGTTTCAGGACGTTTCGGGTCAAAACCGTCATTTTCTGTCAAAACCGAGTCCATCGGGTCAATAAGGGTCCCACCATGTCGACCGGGATGAAAAATGAGTTTCGGGCTATTTCGGGTCAAAACTGTCATTTTCTGTCAAAACCGAGTCCACCGGGTCAATACGAGTCCCACCATGTCGATCGGGATGAAAAATGAGTTTCGGGCTGTTTCGGGTCAAAACCGTCATTTTCGGTCAAAACCAAGTCCACCAGGTCAATACGGGTCCCACCATGTCGACCGGGATGAAAAATGAGTTTCGGGCTGTTTCGGGTCAAAACCGTCATTTTCGGTCAAAACCAAGTCCACCAGGTCAATACGGGTCCCACCATGTCGACCGGGATGAAAAATGAGTTTCGGGCTGTTTCGGGTCAAAACCGTCATTTTCGGTCAAAACCGAGTCCACCGAGTTAATATGGGTCCCACCATGTCGACCGCGATAAAAAATGAGTTTTGGACTATTTTGGTCAAAACTAGTATTTTTGATCAAAAAAACCGGTTCACCGAGTTGATACCCGTATAAAAAAAGTTTTTTTTAATTTAAAATTGATTTTTAGCGGGTGAAAAAACTTTTTATAATACTAATTTGAATTTTTAATTTTTACCCCAATAAATAAATATTATTATTATTATCTAGTATTATTATATATAATAAAACAAATAGTAATATGTGGAAGTTTGAAAATTTTAACAATCCGTGAATTGTTGTCTGAATTCATTGGCTATAAATAGCCAATGAATTCAAGACAGGGGAGAAAAAAAATAAAAAAATTGATTCTCAATTTCAATTCTGAATTCGGAATTACTATTTCGGTTACTATTTGGTTACTATTCATTTTTCTTATATTTTCTCTGCACCCTAGTAACATATTAAATTTTTTTTTAATAAATTGAAAAATACCAAAAATATCTCAACCGTTAGATTTAATAGTATTTAGATCTGAGCCTTTAATTTCGTAGGATACAATAGGCTTTACCACACCAGATTTAAAACCCAAATCAATCTCAGCCGCTCAAATAATCTGCCCTTCGATCTGATTGCGCCACGTCAGCAGGTGTACCGGCTGCTCGGTATATCGCAATACACCAGATCGCAACCCATTCACTTATGACCGTCTTATCACTTGAAGATCAAATGAATCACAGCCGCACGATCTGTTCATCCGAGATCCAGCGGTTGAAAGCCTTCAGATGCACAAGCGCACCATACACTCGTCCACACCGTAGCACAACCCAGAGCTTCTCTCTCCTCTCGCCGGCGATTCTCTCTCTCCGCCGATCTCCCATTTCCGACCATCTCAAGCCGTTAAACCACCACAGAAACGTGCATCGCCTCCTCCTGAGCAAAACCCCGGCCGTTTTATACTTTTTCACCGGCGATTTTGGCCGGAAAAAGGCCGTGACCGACATCGGCCAATCGACCTTCAAGTCGTCGATTCTCCCTCCTCAGCCATCAACGGCCAACGAGACCACCACCATCAGAATCCTCGTCCTCAGATCTACTAGAATCGACCATCTTTTGGCCGGAACCATCTTTTGAACAGTAAATTTTCGATAAATCCAAGGGTATTTCAGTCTTTTGCCTATACAGGGATACTCAGGTAATTTTTTATGATATTTTATGATATGTTTTTTTATATTTTTATATATAAATACTTGTAAATTTTTGCATGTGAAAAAAAACAAAAGAAAACCAAAATAAATAACGACGCGGGTTTAACACCCATTTTATCATATCACTGTTCATAGGTCAAAAACCCAATTTTCAAGAATTGATATATCTATTTGTGAATGATATCAAAATAATTTTTATTTTATTAAATAAATATTATTTGTCGACACGTCTCTTTTATTTATAGAAAAGGACCGATGTCAAAAATTTAAATACCAAATATGAATTATGTCCATTATTATTTATTTTGGTAAATCAGACGTAACTCTCCTGTTTAGGGATAAACGTCGACATTTTAGACAAAGTCTCCTAATTTTAGGGACTGATGTCATTTTTAACGCGTCTCCTATTTTTAGGGACCGACGTTAATCATGTTAAAAATTTACAAATAAGCTCAAAATATAATAGCATTTGAATCAAAATAAGAAAAACACACAAGTAAAGGTAACCTTTCTCTGAAAGGATGTTTTAAGGGTGGTGTCTACCTTCCCTTAATCATAACTAACCCAGTATCCGAATCTCTGGGACCAGTGTCTAATTTTGGATTTCTAGTTCCCTCAAATTACTAGATGGCGACTCCAAATAAAATCTTTATTTCCCCCCAATCAAATAAAAAACTAAATTCTTTTTTTTTTGTTGTTTAAAAAAAAACAAACAAAAAGAGGAGTGGAGCCATTGCCCGACATCGTGTAGCGACAGCTTGTTAAATGACTAATCTTGATTTATGTTGTATAACACTTGGTACAACAAATGCTTGGTACTTTCATAGCTCATACTGTATGGTATAACTGACACCTGAGCTATGAAAGGAGCTTGATTTGTTGTTAACATAAGTTATAATCATGAATGCTTGATGAGATTTACAAGTATTAGCATTAATCGAATAAGATGACTAATGTAATCATGTTAACAATCTATAATCTGATTGGAACCTCCTTTATGTATGGTTTCCAATTGAATAATAAGAGTTTATACTATACTTGTTTGACATACCATTAGTGGATCCTCTAACCTTGACATTTGTTATTATCATCGTTTAATCTTTGCGTTAATATTCCATCTCAAAGTTCTCATCATCTTCTTCTTCTTCTTATTCTTTATTATTATTATTATTATTATTATTATTATTAATATTACTATTATTACTATTATTATTATTATTATTATTGTTATTATTATTGTTGTTATTACTATTATTATTGTTGTTGTTGTTATTGTTATTGTTGTTGTATTATTGTTATGTATAATTTGTACAATTAACCTCCCTGTGGTTCGACCCCGGTCTTGCCGGGTTATTTATTACTTCGACACTCCTGCACTTGGGAGAAGACATCAATCTTTTCGTCGTATCACTAGGTTGGTTTTACAATTGTGGTTTTGATTTTAGGGGTTTATAATGGTTTTGTTAAATTTAAAAGGAAATGAGTTATTTCTAACCTTTTGATCTTGAGAGAAATGTTTTTAGCCCTTGATAAGAAACCTTTAAGAAGTTTTGAAGTGTGAATATTCAAAAAACAAATTGTTTTTCTATTTTACGCTTTGATTACTAGGGACTAGTAATAAGCTGGTTGGGGGGTGTGATTAGTACTTAAAAGTGCATTTTTATCATGGTTTTATATCATTATTTTGCACTTGAAGTATCAATAACTCCTTAACTAAAATATGTTTTATAATAATGTATCTAATAATATAAGATACCTATAACTTATGGTAAATGTCTATTTTTAATGCAGGTTTATCACATAAATGAAAGGATTGATTGATGACTTGAAGAACTTAAATTGCATGGATAAAGAGATGGTCAAACTTAGAGAAGAGATGTCGGTGCAATCCAAACCGGAACACTGTTCGGTAATTGGGTTATATCTGGAGCTACAGTGTAGAGAATTATAAAGGAACGTTGTTTATCTAAGATAAGAATTTCACTTTTAAGAAGTTTATGCTTTAGTATTGCTAGATGTCAAAAGATTTTTCAAATCTATGGTCTATTATTTTGTATTTTCTTTCTTTATTAAAGGTGATTTTTTATATTTGAAGTTTGGATTTTTTACTTTTTAATGAGGAATTGATGGGTCCAAGTGTTCTTATGAAACAGATTTCTCAAAAGGCAGGATCTTGCTGGCAGTCCCCGAAATCTATTCAGAAACTACCTTACCTTACGCATCTGTATGTAGTGTTTATAAATTTTAGCAATTATGAATTTTGAACATATATTCAATTTAATTTGAGATTCTATATACGTTGCAGCGATCTGTGGGCGAACTACCTGAGTGGTAACATACCACTGGAATGGGCTAATACGAAGCTGGAAATCTTGTAAGAAAACACTACATTTTCTTGATTTTCTAGCCAATGAATTGCTTGCTCTTACTGTATTAATAGGTTGCATACGTTGCAGGTCTATTGCTATCAACCGCTTAACCGGACCAATTCCTAGCTATCTGGGAAAGATTATCACACTCAGATGCTTGTATGCGTTTCATATTTGTCATTCTATTGTTCTTTTTTACGATAAAGTTGTTCAAATGTTTAGACAATACTAATACAGACGGTTCATATTCATGCAGGAACATTCAAAATAATATGTTTTCTAGAATAGCTGGCGGCTGGACGGTTGGCCGGTGGCAGCTGGTGGTTGCCTTCCTTGACCTTCTAGACTGAGTTTACTTCAACAAATCTCCCCCTTAAACTCAATCGAGGGATGTCATTCCAAGCATGAATTTCAATATGATAAATACTTCTCTCTTTAATGGCTTGGTAAAGATATCTGCAACTTGATCATCTGTTTTGTAGGATATCAGCTCGACTTCTTTATTCTTTACATGCTCTCGGATGAAGTGATGAGGTGTATTAATATGTTTACTTCTTTCATGATACATCGGGTTCTTTGCCAATGTAATTGCTAATCGATTATCAATATAAATCTATGTAGGATTTTCTTGAAGAAATCCCAAAAACTTTAGCAAATTCCTTAACTATATTAAATGGCATACAGCTGAGTTGGCAGCAACATACTTAGCTTTACAGCTTGATAACGTGACAATCGATTGCTTATTGGATGACCATGTGAAAGATATATCTCCCATGAAAAATACAAACCCTGTTATACTTTTTCTTTCATCCAGATCTCTACCCCAATCATTATCCGAGTAGTTAGTAAAATTGAAATTTGTACTTGAGGTATAAAACATACCTTCATTTATTGTGCTTTTGATGTAGCAAAGAATTCTCTTGGTTGCATTCAAATGAGACTGGTCTGGCTTCTCCATATATCTGTTGATAAGTCCAACTCCGTAGAGTATATCCGATTTGGTACATGTCAAGTACCTTAAGCTTCCTACTAAGCTTTTGAAGTAAGTTGGATCAATATTTTCAACTTTACTTTTCCTCAATTCCACTCCATTCTCAATGCCTTCTCTCTATTTGTAGCCTTTCGCCACTAATCTTGCTTTGTATCTTTGCATTTCTCCTTTTACATTCTTCTTTGTCTTGTAGACCCATTTGACACCTATCACTTTCTTGTTTTCTGATAAATAAGTCAGCTTCTAGGTATCATTCTTCTCAATGGCATGTATTTCTTCATCCATTGCTTTTATCCAATTCTCTTCTGTGATAGCTTCACTAAAGCTAAGTGGGTCACTATCTGCAAAGAAACAAAATAAAGTTGTATCTTCTATTACTTAAGTGGCGTCATACAACTTTTCTAGATTTCTCATCCTTCTTGGTCCTTCTGATGAGGATGCTGATGATGGTTCTGGTAATGATGGTGTTAATAATGATTCTGGTGTGTTTCTCCTATTGAATATAGGAAATCTATGTATCAGACTTTGTGGCTCATCTTCCGGTACCATTGGACCTTCTGCAAGTACTGTTGGTACTTCTTCATCTTTAAGGATCAAATCAGTGCTGATCCATTTAACTGCTTCTTGGTCATCATTCCATTGCCAAGTTTTATCTTATTCAAAGATAACATCTATACTTATAATTACCTTATTGGTGATGGGATTATACAACTTGTATCCCATCCTTCTCTCACCATATTCGACAAAGACGCATTTCTCGCTTTTATCATCAAGTTTGGTCATTATTGCATCTGGGATCTTTGCATATGCCACACAACCAAAAACTCGAAGATAAGTAACACTTGGTTTGTGACCACTCCATGCTTCTTATGGAGTGATAGCTTGCAAACTTCTGGTTGGGTAGTGATTTAGTAGATACACTACACATGATACAGCTTCAACCCAATATTGCTTGGGTAGCTTCTTTGCTTTGAGTAGACTTCTTGCCATATCAAGAATTGTTTAATTCTTCCTCTTAGCTACACCATTTAGCTGTGGTGTATAAGCTGGTGTTGTCTAATGTCTGATGTCTTGTTGTATACAAAAGGCTTCAAAGTCATTTACTGTATATTCTCTACCTTGATCAGATCTTATGGTTCTGATCTTATAGTCACTTTGCTTCTCAATAATTGCTTTAAAGTCTTTAAAACAATTAAACACTTCTGACTTCCTCTTCAAAAAATATACCCACGTCTTTATGCTAAAATCATCAATGAAAGTAAGGAAGTGCCTATTTTTTCCATTCGACATAGGCTTAATAGGACCACATATATCTGTGTGCACTAACTCCAGTGGCTTCTTTGCTTTCCAGTTAACTTCTTTGGCAAAACTGGATCTGTGATGTTTGTTGAGGACACAACTCTCACAGACTTCTTCTGGATGATCAATGTGAGGCATGCCTTTGACCATCTTCTTACTTGCTAGCATCTTTAGACTTGTGAAATTTAGATGTCCAAGCCTTAGGTGCCAAAGCCATTCTTCATTGTTGGTGATGACACTCAAACACTTTGCTGTATCATATTGGATGTTTAAAGGAAACATCCTATTCTTGGACATTTTCACATAGGCAATTAATCTCCTATTATAGTCTGTAATTGTTAGATGACAATTCTTCATGTAAAGTGTATAGCCTTTCTCCAAAAGTTGACCTATGTTCACCAAGTTCTGCTTTATGGTTGGGACATAGTAGACATCGGCGATGTAGCTATGATCATCATTCTTCAACTTGATTGGGATGTTGCCTTTACCTTTGAATGAAACATTTGACGTATCTCCAAAGGTGAAAAAACCTTATATGGTCTTATCTAGGTCACCAAATAAATCTCGTTGGCCACACATGTGATTACAGGGGCACTAAGGTGCACTCAAAGAGAGGTAAGGTTAGAAAATGTGCTACCTAAGGTGGTCGAGGGCTCTAAGACGCACTCAAAGAGAAGGAAGATAGGGCTAAAAATCACATTGTCTAAATGATGAGGACTCAACAACCCACTCAAAAAGAGGTGACAATGAGACACTGACATGTTAAAGTTGAAAGTAATGCATCATGATCAATATACATGTATACTTACTTGAGAAATATAGGTCCTCTTTTCTTCATAGAGTTTTTCTTTTCTCAAAAGTTTGAGTCTCTTATAGTAAGCTTTGATGGCTCTTTCCGCGCTTGCCTACTCAAGTCATATCTTGTGATCTTGACCTCTAGGAGGGGTATGACATCAATATACTTCTTTGTCCACAACCTTTTATTTGAAGGGTTGTTATCTTCACCCAACATTTTTTATTTTTTTAGAAGGGGGATCATGGAGATAGCCTTGTGTGTTTTGGTAGATTGCCCCCCCAGTTTGATCATATCTCCAAGTGTTCAATTTGGGTTTTTCTTGGGGAGGAGGCTATATGGAAGAAGATTTGGTTATTTACAAAGAGTTGTTTTCATAAAGAACTTTTGGAATTTCAAAGCTATTCCAAAATCATTTTGATGTTTGTTCAAATCAAACTCGTTTTGAAAAATTCAAGCAATTCTCATAGATAGGTTTGCATAAGAGTTGAAATTTTTTGTTTTGGTTTTGGTGAAGTAAAGTGAAGTTTCATTGATTAAAGTAGTTCAAGCTTCAATTTGAGGGTTTTAAAGAACTAGTTTTCAAAGCTTTCATTTTGCTTGCATGAATAATGATTTGTTTCACATGGGAAAACAAAGTCTACCAATCTAGATTGCTTGCCTTTGATTAGAAAGGGCTGGATTGAGCATGTAACATAGGCTTTGCCTCTTAACTATTAAGAAAAAGGATATTTATTGGCTTAAAAGATGTTTAAGGGACTTTAAGACTAAGGATCATTAATGTTTATTTCTCAACCCTTTCTTCCGATTCTTGAATTTTCTAGGCCTTAAAATTTTACAAAACAGTTCTCCTTTAGGTTTGGGCTTTTCTTCTTTTGGTTTTGAGCATTATTATATTAATGATTTTTATGGCACACTCAAATCTTTTTGGAACTCTTTCATGCCCTTCAGATTTGTTTAGGTACTTTGGATCATTGAGGATTTTTTTTATGCCCCCCAGTGTTGTTTAGGCACTTTTATCATTAACTTTTTTATACCCTCCGGGGTTGTTTGGACACTTTTAGTCATTAAGAATTTTTTTGCACTTACCCCTAATATAAGATGTGATCCTAGCTAGAGTTATTTTTTCAAGAAAAAGTTATTAGGCTCAGAAGGGGAGTACAAGGGATTTTTAGCATTATAAAAGGAGTATTAAAGATGGTCTTTCTTCATTTCAAATGCATACAGTTAGAATCGATAAGCTTTGCTTTCTTATATGCGAATATGCAAAATGGTTTCTCATTATTCATACACTCAAAATTCAGCTTTAAAGTTATCTCATGGTGTTCAGGTTGTCTTTTAGGTTTTTTAAGTGTTAGGATATCACTTGAATTTCTCAAAACTTGTTTGTTAGAACAAATACCAATTTGATTTTTGTTTTGCATTAAAACTTTGATTTCCTAAAAATACTTGTGAAAACATGGGGCCATGCTTGTTTTTTGAGAGAGTGAGAAAAAAAGGGAAAACACCAAAGAATTCTTGGTGTAGTGGTTTTGTAAGTACAAAGGTGTGCTCAATATGTTATTTGCATGAAGATACATCATGAACACAGAAAAACACATGATTTTATTAATAGGAAAGACTCATTTGACAGAGAAAGTCTTGTGGCATTATGAGCTAAATTATCAACAAGACTAAAACAAGTTGAAATAGACATGATCAAACAAAAAGAAATAATTGAGTAGGCTTTATCTTCCCATTCTATAGCAAAACTTTGTCCTTTATGCTTGAGAGTGCACATTGCCTTCTTCACACCTTACTCTTACCATCGGTGCTTTGAGGTTTCCAAAGCATTTTGCCTTTAGTGCATTCACCGATCCAGTACCTGAAGCATGATTGCTTAGAGGGTTCAAACTCATGTTTGGAGTTCCTTCAAATGTTATCTACCTAGCTTTGATCAAATGCATGAACCTCTTTTTAAAGGCACTACAGGTATGAATGTTATATCCCGTAGCATCAGCATGGTACTCGCAAGTGAGGTTAGGCTCATACTAGTTGGGGTAAGGTAGTTGCAGAGGTGTCAAGGGTTTTAGAGCTATATGCCCGATGCTTAATAGCTTTTGGTACATCTCATTTAAGGACAATAGTAATAGAGGTAGTTGTTCTAGACTCTTTGGTGTTTGGTTTGAGGCTTAGGTTTTCTTGTGGGGAATGTAGGGTTGAGAT